CTTAAAAGATACGAGGTTTTTTTGGTGCTGACTCAGTTTTAGTTATTTTTTTTTTTAATTATTATTATTTTTAATATGTGCAGCAATTTATTGAAACATAAGGCAAAAACAGAGGTACAGGCACAATTCTAAAGTGTGTGAAAGTCACTTTTCAGTATGTCGACCTTTTGTTAAATATACATTTTTTAAAATAGGGAACATAAAACACAACATGTACAACAAGAATAAACAAACAAACAAACACAAAAAGCAAGGGATGTACCTACTAGTTAACATATGTACATAACAATTCAAAAATATAAGATACTGGAATATGGAGGTTCATACAAGTTCGGGACGCCTTGACTAAATATAATGTTTCCATATGTCCCAAATTTCAACAAATGTGTCATATTGAAATCTGTTAGAGAATGTAATTTTTTCCATTTTAAACAACCGATACACAACTTCATGTCATTTAGTGATGGAATTTTTACACCGAGCCATTTAGTCTTTCGGACAGCCAGACTCAAAATGCCGTATAACGGAGCACATTGCTGATACCAAGTGTCATTTGAAATTACCATATTTGTTTCCCTTTCCCATTTCTGTTTGATGCAAATTGTATTCATATTCTTAATTTCCTGTAAACACTTGTACAGTCTAGAAATCACTTTGAGACCAGGATCCGCATAGTATGCCTTAACAAATATATTCAGAACAGGAAGAGAGAAAAGATCTATTCTCTTGGGTATAAAGTTATGTAGATGATGCTGGATTTGGAGAAACCTAAAAAAATCACTATTGCTTAACTGGCATTGATCTTTTATTGACTGGAAGTTCCTAAGAGTTCCCTTATCATAAAATGTACAGTATACCTTTAAGCCTTGTCCTGCCCACTTTTTATATGTCGCATCTAACTTTTTGGGTAAAAAATCAGCTGGATTATAGTTGATCAAAACTTTAATGTGATTTCAGTTTAAGACATTAAACTGGCCACGTTTTAGATAAATTTTATAATAACAGAGTGATGCTGGACATAAGCAACTGTGATTCCCTGCATATTTTAAGGATTAAGATAAACTTCAGTTTTCACTGAGTCTTTATTAACATTATCTTGAGCTGTCTACATCATTTTAAAATGTATTAATTTTGTTGTTTGTTTGTGTTGTTAAAAGAGTTTTGTGTTGCTGTGCAGAGTGAAAATCTCACCTGATGTAGTGTTAAGGTGATGTTCACCAGTAGATGGCAACAAAGACAAATGGCACAGGTATTTTCTATACAAACAAAATTTCACACTGAAAAGCCTCAGTGGGAATTTTTGTTTGCATAGAAAGAAAAGGAAAAAGTGTCTTCAGGGGCCTGTTCTTCGTACCGCGCTAAGTGAGTTAGCTGGATGAGATTGTTGACCATTTCGCGTGATCCTGGATCGTTCGGTTCCCCGAAGCCCATCCGGGACTTGCTGTCATAGCAACAGAGCCGTAAGCGTAAACCTGCTGGGGAGCAGGTTTACTTTATGTAAACAGGATTAGATCGCGGCCACGCAGGTATGTCCGCGTCATTCATACGAAAGCAACAGCGATATTCCACCACTGTTTCACCATAAATAAATAACATCAATGTAACTAAAGATAATGCAGCACTTGATCCTTTTATTGATGTCACACAGATATATACAGCTCATTTCCTAAAAAAGGGAAATGTACTATTAACATTCTATTACATGTATGTGATTATTACAGATGTAATTCATATTTCAGAGTAGTAATTGTAAATTACTTCGTGTAATCAAGATGAGAGACCACGGCTATAAAAGCGAAGGTGGATTTGGGAAGTCTGTCGCAGTCATGTCCTGTCCGTTTACGCGAGCAACCCATTGCGGAAGGTCCAAGATTGATAAGGAGAGTTTTCAGAATTCAGCGTATATTGCGGGACAGACAGGATCCTTTAGCTCAGCGCGACAGTGTGCTCATAGAGAGATATCGATTTTCCCGTGAGGGTATTATTCACTTAACCAACTTGTTGACGAGGGGGTGCAGGACCACCACCTGTCTTTTTTTTTGCTCTGCCCTTTTCTTGGTTGCTGTTATGAACAAACAAACAGATTATTCCAGGGTCTCTTTCCAAGAGACGACAAGCAATATAAGTGATAAATATTACCATTCTGTAGAATATTCTTATATTTCACTTTTACTTGTTCCCATGTTCTAGTGGGTCCTGTTGTGGCTCTAATGTGAAAGGGGATATAATATAACATATTATAATATAATATAATGTAATATAATATTGGATAATATGGTGTGATATGATAAATCTACCCTACCGCCTACTGGTGTTGGCCAGAGGGGCCGATGGCGCAATATGGCAGCCTGGCTTCTGTCAGTCTGCCCCAGGGCAGCTGTGGCTACAACCGTAGCTGCCTCCACCAGTGTGTGAATGTGAGAGTGAATGAATAGTGGCATTGTAAAGCGCTTTGGGTGCCTTGAAAAGCGCTATATAAATCCACTCCATTATTATTGTTATTATTAAATTACTTACGAGTTTAATTTGTCAGCAACTTTCTGCCAGCCCTCTCTCCTTGCTTTTGCAGCCTTTGCAGTGTTCCCTTGCGTTTTAATTAAACTCTGAAACTCCTGAAATCCCTCACTCAAGAGTTCTTGCTCTGCTGCCGAAAAATACCGAGCGCGCTCCTTCGACATTTTCGCCGACCAATCAAAGGGTTGCCGATCAATGTTTCTACTATCGATGCATAGCCCCTGTTGGGCCACCCAGTGATCTCACATTACTTCATCCAGCTATACTAATCGTCAACAACAGGTGTGTTCGGGGAACCGGATTAGCGAGCTCAGAGTTAGCGCGATGATTTGGTCTTGGATGTTTCATTTGATCTTGGATGTAGTAAGCGACGTACGAAGCACAGGGCCCAGGTCTTTCCAGTGTTTTCAAAATTGTGTTTTTCAGATTCACATCAAAACTTCACACAGACACACACACGTTCGTTTTCACATCTTAGTGAGGACACTGAATTGACATATTACCCCTTAACCAACCATCAGAAATCAATGCCTAACCCTAACCCTTACCCAAAAACCTAACCATGACCCAATGGCACCCCTAACCTCAAAATGACATGTTGAGCCAAAAAACTGCAAAATTGCATGTATTTCTCGTTAATTTTTATTGAGATTTTAACCATTTTTAGTTTTCATGGAAAATAACTGTTATTCATGAAATGACATAATTTCAAATAACTTCTTAAAGTCAGTAAATAGCTGCCACACAAGAATAAATAAAATCTAATTTATGATATTTAACGGAGTTAGAAGTTAGCAGGAAGTTAGCTCACTAGCTTCTATCTAGATACAATATAGCATGTCCTGACTGCGGGGCTTTGGAAACAAATTAAAACGTACAGTTCTGTTATCACTTCCAACATAAATGAAGACAGAAAACTAAACAGCAGTGACGTTTGTAGGGTTACTGAAGTTTGGCTAGCTGGTATATAATGCTGTGCTACATGACCGCTAGTGACACAGCTATGTTAGCATAATATATACAAGCTAACTTTTTTCCACTCGATAAAAGTTAACGTGAGTGTTCTCGGTGGTCAGGAACAAATGTAATCGCATGGCAGGATGCTGTAAAAGGACCAAACTTCAGCCAGGAGAACAACTGAGATAATCCATCCACAATATGAGGTTAGTCATTCATATACTGCTGCATGGGCTGGGCTGTAGATTAGCGGTAATAAAAGCCGAGGGAGGTCAACAGTGATCACTGACTGTTTTAGGAGCTTTTTGAGATTAAATAGAAGAAAATACAAAACATTAAACAAGTTAACAACACAAAAGCCATATTAAACGCAGACTACTTTAGGCCCAGAAGTAGAATTCGTCACGTCATCACTTAACGACCGGATATGTTTCCTGCAATAAAGTTACCAAGTTAGTCTGTTACAAACAAGCAATCCAACATTGTTAAATACGCTGCTATATGGCCAAAAGTATTGGGCCACACCTCTGACTCAATGAATTCAGGTGTTTCAGTTCCATGACTACAGGTGTATAAAATTAAGCATCCATGCAGTCTGCCTTTGCAAGTATTTGTGAAAGAATGGGTCTGAACAGTTCACTGCTCTCACAGTGTGGTACCGTAATACTATGTCAGACAACATAAGCTGAGATAAAAGCCACCAAGGCTCTGCACCAGTGTTGGTCAAGTTACTTGAAAAAAGTAATCAGTAACTAATTACTGATTACTTCCCCCCAAAATTAATCCCGTTACTTTACTGATTACTTATTTTCAAAAGTAATTAATTACTTAGTTACTTAGTTACTTTTTAAAAACACGATTTACAACCTGAATAGGTGATAAAGCGATAGATCTTTCAGCCCAATTCTACTTTTTCTACATAATCCATCATACAAAATGTAATCAAATGGAAAAGTCCCTTTTTAAAACTTGTTTTATTAGTTTTAATCTTTTAACTTTATGCATCAAGCAAAAATTTTATTATATGCAACATTCTCTGACTGGAAGAAATTTGTTTAATATTTAAACCTATTTTCTGCACATTCCCGCACATAAAATATATTTTTTTTGTGTTTACACTCAGTCTTTCAAATAGATGCAAGTGAAACACAGCAGAAAATAAATAAAATCAAAGACTCAGCGGCCCTTTTGCTCTATTTTCACCTGTAAAGCAAGAGTGGCGTAGGCGGAGGTTTGCCCTGGGGCAGGTTTTTGTCACTTTTTATGGAATCAAACTTAAAGTAAGGTCAGTACTTCCACGCTTTAAACGCTGCATGCTCATACTCTCTTCTGCACTCGATATATTATCCATTGTTGATCTGCACACAGCTGCTGTCACGAACGTCGCACTTGCTTACCTTACTGTCATGAGACATTCTCGCAAAAAAATCACGGTTTTAGTAACACAGTAACGCAGCGTTCCTACGGGAAAGTAACGGTAATCAAATTACCGTTTTTGCAACAGTAATCCCTTACTTTACTCATTACTTGAAAAAAGTAATCGGATTACGCGTTACTGCCCATCTCTGCTCTGTACAGCTCCAAACCTCCTCTGCCACTGACATCAGGATAAAAAATGTGCACTGGAAGCTTCATGGTATGGATTTAAATCGCTCAATATGTATGTGGCCAAAAACTTTAGTCCATGTAGGGAAGTTTACCACAGTTTACCACAGTTTACACAGATTTACGCAGTTTAGAGTCAGTCAGGTCAGCTAGTGTGATGGCAGAGAGGGCAGCCTTTACATTGTAGAAAGAGTCACATTATTTTATTCTGGGGTGACAGTATGAGCTTCTGAGCAGGCATAAATATTGATATAAATATATAAAAAACAAAAGTAAAATACATTCATGAAACTGTCAAAGTTGCTGAAAACTGAGCAGAAGAGAAAGAATTATGTGATGTCACATTTTCCTGAGAACTGACTGACTGTGATGACTCCTCCAAGTGCTACATGCTATGTTGTCCTGCTAGTTGAGCCTGCTGTCTGTTCTCAGCCGTCCTCCTGTTTCACTGGCATATATCCATCACCAGAGGGCTCCACCGACCTGCCTGTTGACATCAGAGCAAACCCCTGTGTCATGTGACCTGGCTGGAGCTGCAACGCTGGACTCAGTCGTGGCCCAGGCAAGTTCAGAGGCAGTTGTGGAAAAGAGAGCAGGGAGCATGGTAAAGCACTGGAAGGATGAGGCGGAAACAGGAAGCGTGTAGATTCAGTGGACTTATCAACATCCTCCATGCCCTCATCCTGACTCAGCTGCTCCTCTCCCCCACTGCTAACACCTGAATCCAAGCTGGGAAGCTCCGGGCTGTCAGCCTGCTGTTTCTCCACTCGCTCATAATCAGAACAAACCTGGATAGACTTGCCAAACACACCTCCGCTGCTTCCAAACAACCTCTGAAAATCTGCCTTTTGTTTATTCCCTCCCTCCTTCTCTTCCTCACCCTCAGGTTCTTCATTATGGCTATCAGTCATATTGATGCTATCTGCCTCCATGCTCTCTTCACTGACCTCTTCACAACTGCACATGCCTGAATCTAGACTCTGGAGCCTAAATCGATCATTGTCGAGCCTCTCAGTTTTCTCGTAGTCTGAAATCACCTGCACTGACTCACTGTTACTGCTGCCTTTGAGCAGCAACATTAACGTCTCCTTTTCTTTCTCTCTCGCTTCATCACTTTCCTGTTCTGCGCTTTTTCCTTCACCCCGAGTACCAACAGGACCATAAGGCGTGTCAACCGCACAGGGCTTCAGATTCCCAGCAGTGAGTGAGGAAATAGGAGGAGGGCTACAAAGCTCAGAGTAACTTGGGTTAGTGAAGCTGGAGCTGGTGGAGTCATAGCTGCCTTTGTTCAACACCATCTTCTCATCTGGCTTGTAGGCCACAGCAGCATCCACAGGTGAGATTAATTCTACAGTGATAATTTCCACTGGTTTCAAGAAGGAGTGAAAGTATTCACTGGAGAACCCACTCTGGAGGAGAGAAAGTCACAGAACAGAAGAGATTAGAAAGATTTGAAATATACTAGATATTCAGTCTGCACTTCAAGACCAGGATTAAAAAGACGAATGGATCGGTGATCAATTTTGTTTGTCTGGTTAGACTGTCTGCAGCACAACTTTCAGTAATTCTCTTTTTATGTTGCATGCTGTGTCTGTTTATGAGCTGCAGTTATCTCATTTTTATTTGTAGATGGTTATGACAAAGTATTGAACTGAAAACTAAAGAAGATTCAGTATTCGACTGTAAACGACCACGGCTGACCCAGTGGCATTTTAATCATTCTTTATTAATACTTGATGGTTGCTGTGCACACGCAGGACCCACTACAGTATTTAAGTAGGCGGGGCATGATTGCAGATGCCATGCAGGTGCGTCTGCCATCCCTGCACGGCACCGCAAGCCACGGCCTGCCACATCGACTTACAGTCATATGTGGCTGACACACAGCTCAAAATAAATGCTAACGATAGCTGCTAGTCATGTACATTTACTGCAAACATGTTCACCATGATAGTACACAAATGTTATTTTTTACTGCCCTGAAATGGCAGCTTCAATTGTTTTTCATTTTAAACTGTAAACTGTAACCTGATTACATGATTTAACAGTAGAGAGTAAAGAGGACGCATCTACAGCCTGTATGCTTACCTTAAAATGTACATTCTGCAGGGAGGATTTTCCTGGGTCTGGTACGGGCTGACCTTTCATTGTCTTTACTACATAAACCCTGAGGCAACAAAATTACAATCAAAACCGAAGCTGTCAAAAAGAATCTTTTTGTTTTTAATACATCATACCAGAATAACTAATCATAATATACTGCACATTGAGATATTTTTGGAAAAGTTTGCTTACCAGTGTTTTTTAGTTGTGCAGAGAATGACTGCCATTAACACTACAACACCTGCTGTAATTATGCACACAACAAGTGTAGGAACATCTGAAAAATACAAAAAAACCAAAAAACAGAATAGAATAACTTTATCGTCCACACTAATGGAAAATTGTCTTTGGTTCACCAAGTCAAAAATCAACCAGGCAATAAAATCATAATAAAAATATTGGTAGGAATCAGACCACATTCAAACCTAAGCATAAATAACACTCCAATATACCTATAGAAATACTTCACAGTATATGATGGATTTTTTTAAAATATTAAATGCTTTTGACACAAAGGATCTCTTATAGACTTTTTTGCTAGCTAGAGGCATCTTGTAACGTCATCCTGACAGCATTAATTCAAAATCAGAGTGAAGAGGGTGTTTGGGGTCAGTAACAATAGACCAGGCTTTCCTTAAGACAGCTTGAAGATACTAGATTCCAATCAAGGCTGCTATCGACCAGTAATTGTTCTGGTAGTTCTAACAATCATGTTACAAAATAACAAAATATTCTCCAATTAGCTTTCCTGTAAATGGAATGAGCATAAAAAAAATAAATCTTGTCCTTAAAATGTGTTTCCAGATACTTAAAGATATTAATGACTCTCACAGACTGATCAGAAAGTGAAGCCGGTCATGGGGATTGGGTAATTCAAGACAAGCTTTTTCATTTTTAATAAGGAAATAATGAAATTTACACCCTTCTTTCAACCTGCATCCCTGAGCAAAACCATTAGGGCTCGAGTTCCTATAGAAGACCAACAATAGCCATATCATCAGCATATTTTCACATTTTCACTTTCCTATCTTGGAGCTGCACGTCATTTACATAAACAGAGAATAACAATGGTACTGACTGTACTGACTTCATCAGGTAAAACAAATACAGAATTTCTGTGGGCTTTAGTTGCTCTTATAAAATGTGTGTCCTTGTTGTACTGAAACAGAAGACAGAGCCGATCACGTTAGCTTAGAAAAATGAGAGAAGGCAGGACTGAATGTAAAAGAGAACTCTGCAGAGTTTCTTAAACTAAACTATTTGTCTTTGGAGCCATTTGGCAAAAAAAGTACCTGATGGTGGTTTTCTTTTTCCTACTGGTGACTCCCATGATGCAGTGGGGCTCCAGTCACTCCAGGCTCCCTTGGGTCGAGGTTTAACAGACCGCACACGAACTCGTACCTCGTACTTCTCGCCTTGTATCAGTTTGTCTGGGTCCAGCTCTGCCCTGCACTCATTCTCGCACTGAATGTCACCTTTTTTCTGAAAGGGGGGATCCTGACAGACAGAAAGATTTTTATATCACTTTATTTACTCTTGCTATGAATTCACACAAACACAGGGCAAGGATCATGTGTACACACTATTTAAACGTGCACTTTCAGGATCTCGACTTCATACCCAAACTCATTCACATTGTGATACAAAATCTAAACTTACACTCCATGACTGATCCTGCTGCTTCCACTGCACTTCACTTTCGTATGAGTTGATCATTTCATGTTCGGGGTCTTCGGACAACCAGGAAACAGAGGTGACGTTGACTTCTGGCTTCGAAGGAGGATTCACCTTTACTGTAAGAGTGTGCACATGAACACACACACACACACACACACACACACACGAATCAGACAAATATGTTCTATGGGCTCCGTAAATAGGTCATATTGTAAGTAACAATGAGGTAGTATAGATTACACTCACTGTGACAGGACGGCATGTAGGAAGTGTTTAGACTCTGCTTCATATGAGCACAGCTCAGATTCATGGACAACACATGGAGAGACCGAAACTGAAATAAATTGTTTTGAAAAATTAATAAAATGATCCAAAACTAGTGAAGATCTAAATCGATTGGTAAATTTAAAATGTTTTGATTCAAATCTACAGATAATAGTTTCGATGTAAATCTAGAAGTGATGTATATATGCTTGAGGCTTGAGGTTTTCCTTGGTGTCACAGAGTGAAATTCGCAAGGGTGGGACCAGTTATGCTTCTTCTTCATTTCTGACATATTATTATTTCATATGTGCAGGTATACCCGCACATATTAGAAAAAAAGGGGTCCAGAATGCTCTCTCAGTTTAGCTTCTACGTTTTGAGAAATTAGCATTTTCACACAGTAGTCTGTGTCTGCACAGAGGCCATAATTAGCTTTAATTTCACTTCATGTGAAAAAAAGTAAAAATAAAAAAGAAGCCTGATCCTGGAGTTGTACTTCCTAAAATTCATACATAGATACTCTAATATTAAATGGAAAGCAGTGTGCTTTAAATGTCCTGCTGGCCATATGCTCATCACAGGATTCTTCACAGCTGTCTATACCTTAAAAAGCAGATGATTCTTTTTTTCTCTCTTCTACAGATTTTAAACATATTTTTAATAAACAGGGTATCCACCAACAATGCTAGTTGTTTACACACTCACAGTGTATTCCATTTCAAAGATGAGGGAGCACTCCTTTAGGTCTGGTCTGGACATGTCAACAGACTTTAGGTGACAGGAAGTGCTGTAAGAGCTGAGAAGAAGAATATTCATTAGATTTTGCTGTAGATGATGTTACTGATGACATTTGTGACTCGTGTATTGTAAGTATTATGCATCTAGGTTTTCTTTTTGTGATTGAGGTCCTTACATGTAGGGACCTTCATACTGAGCATGTATGGTGCATGCAGTGTCATCAGACACGTATTTGCTGTTCCACAAACATGTGATGTTTCTATTGTAGTCAGTGTAGCAAGTGAGATCTGTGAGAATTAAAACAGGAGAGATTAAATGAAAATGAGTAAATATGTCAAACAACAGATCTTAAAATCAGTTAAACATGAATAAAGAGGAATAAAGACTAACTCTCTGGAAGCCTGGGACACTCATCACTTGTGCAGAGCAGCAGCAGAGGCAGCAGAATAAACAGGGAAAGTCTTTTCTTATTTCTCTCCATTTGTTAAGTCCTTTGAGGCCACTGGGATGGTTTGTTTCCAAAGCTCAGTGACTGGAAGATTTGAAGCATTGTAGTCGCTCCAGACTTTGGCTCACTGCTTCCCAATTTTTCTCATCCTGCCCAGATAAAAAATAAATAAATTTAAAGTGTTTATTAAATCATCTGGTTGACAAGATGCAACAATGTGACAGAGATACACATAGAAAAAAAACTGCTGCCTACAAACACATCAAGAATAAGTTGTAACATAAGCAGTCGATGGAAAAACAGAAATAGAAGTGTTTCAGATCCTGCCCCACTCCTCTGCGGTTCCACATCTGTACAAATGTGACATTTGTTCTCTTGCAGTAACAGGATAAATGAACAATGATGATTTGAGACAACAAAGTTCCAGTGTAAATCAGGCTTATGCATCAAAATCAACACCAAATACAATGTCATTGATATTTCCTTTTTCAGGGTAAAACAAGACCAGCTGTTTTTTCTGAAAGGCCACACTCATACAGCCATTAAAACAGGTAATGAAAAGAAATACTCTGGTCAAATTCTCATTTTACACTCAGCCACGCACACTCAAGACATGCAAAACCTTTCATCAGCTTCCTTTTTGGAACATACAACAGTCTGCCTTTTTCATCCCACCCACATTTGTGCAAAAATGTCAGCAGTTTCCATTCAATCTCCACTGGAATTCAGCACAACTATTTAATAAAATACAGTTTAAATATCAAACAGTTCTCTTAATAAAACAATAATAATAATTGTGTCAGCTACACAAACCCAAACAGATAAAAGGAAAAAAAAAAGGTTGAATTCGTTGCTTTTCAATTCAAGCAATTAACACTGTAGAGGATCTTACTTTGAATCGGCACTGCTCTCCAGACTAAAATGTGAACTTCTGATTAATTATTCTTCACTTCTGAGCATCTGAAGCATGTCAACACGTGTTTCTTACTTCCTATCATTTCTTTCAACTGACAGATAAGGTTAAATTTAGTACCTGATGACACATTTAAACATGCAGTCAAGTAAAAACTGGCAGCTTCTGCGTTAATGTTTCAGTTTTAAACTTCATCATCATTTATTAGTTTGTTGACTACAGCCTGCCATTTCCCCCAGCCTGTTGGATTTTTAACCGTGCACAGCAATGCACACAAAGGGCATGCTACAGCTAATACTTATAAATGTATTAGCTGCAGCTGCTTTTGCATGTGGACCGCAATGACATTTAAACTCTGTGAAAAACAGGATGAAAAAAAAATGTGTTTGTGTGGATTCGTGGTTCTTGTGGTTTTGCAGCCAAGTGCAAGCTGACCCACAAACACCCAGAGCCTGACCTAAAACTTTCACCTTTTTTTAAAAGCATTTTATCTCATTGATATTCAAGCGAACATTTCTTTTCATTGTGATTAACGCAAACATATTAAGTTTATACTGCACAGCGCTGACGTAGATTCTTTACATGTTTAGATTCACATTCATAACATAACATGTATTCTGCTTTGTAGCATGATAGAAAACCTAAACCTGAACCTGCAGCTAAAACCCTAAATATTATCTTCAGCCACAATCCATAGAATAACTGTCTAACAAACTACGTTCCAAGTGTCATGCAGAAGTCAACACTTGTGGCAGTTCGTGGCAAGTATACCATGAGTTGCTGCAGTTTAAAATGCAGTGGAACATTTTAAAAATCATTTACTGATAAATATTTGTGGTGCCAGTATCATTTCTTTAAAAAAAAGAAAAAAAAAAGAAGAAAAAGTGTTGTTCTCCTTTTTTTTTAGCCCAAACCGCTGCACACTACTGTTTTTCTTCCATTTCCGTGCACAGGGGAAAGCACATTATGTTGGTGCTTCTATGGTCACCTGTTTGCAAGGTTTAATAAAGGTCAAAATGTTTTTCTGAGAACTCAAATGTTCCATTATTCTGACAGGTTCACTTCCTGCTAACGGCACTTCTTAAAAAAAACTTAATCTGATTGCATGCAATGAGCTCAGACTTACATGATTTTAATAAATGGAGTATACAATTTCCAGTCATGCACATTACAAGAAAGTGCTTTAGTAGTCAGGAAGTTGATAAGCTTAACAGGAGGCACTTTGTGTAAAAATTAACAAGATGTCAGTTGATACAAAAGGTGAGGGGGGGAAGTTACACTAACTACATCCTCTTAAAATGTACTATTAGATTGAGTCATGTGCTGCAGCATAAAGCAAGATCAGTTCCATCCTGACATTGAGACTCTCTGATGAGAGCTCTTCTAGGGTGACAATGTTGCATGTAGTGATCCAAGAAGATAACAGCCTTGCAATCTTCCAGAATAAAAAAGAGAAACACCAGTATGGGATAGGAAATGAAGTAGATTACTTATTGTGTCAAATTATGATATGAGACTGCTTATATTTTATTCGTTATCTGATCTTCCGCATGCAAATGGTCTGACAACATACACCTACCTGACACCGCTAATGCACTGCTGCTCCTCAGTGTGAGGAATCTGTAGAAACTGACCTTTCACTCTACCAGATCTATAAAGGTCGCACTGCAGTCACATCAATCTGTAGCAGACGGCTCAAACAAGGCGCATGTTTGATGTGGGTGTTTTGGTTTAATCACAGCTAACTCTTTCTTCTTGCGTGGGTAGAAGTCCTCTGCAGTTAAAGCATTCAGACAGACTTTCAAAGAACGGTGAGTCTTTTAAATGCAAAAGATTCATCATGAAGTTCCATGAGCTTCTGTGCCCACACTTACCTTTATTCAACTTCAACAATATCACTAGTAAACACTGCACACATTTTCATAGCTATGATGACAGAGCCAAGCTATATTTATCTTTGAAGCCAGGTGAAACTGTCCATTTAGTCACATTTAAGCATTTCTTAAAGACATAAAGGTCTGGATTATGTAAAATTGTCTACTTGTAACCTCTGGTGTTGTGTATGGAATACAGAGCATGAAATGATTCACTGTAATTACTTTGGATAGGAATGCCTCAGCCTCAATTATTTCCACTCTGACAAACCATCTTTTTTACCCTTACAGTGTCATCAAAGCCAAGTCTTATGGACAGCCTTGTTTCAGCTGAGTAATATTGTCCAATTATGTCCAACGTTTCTGAGTTCAAGTATCTCGGGGTCTTGTTTGCGAGTGATGGGAGAAGGGATCGACAGACGGATTGGTGCTGCGGCTGCAGTGATGCCGACGCTGCACCGGTCCGTCGTGGTGAAGAGAGAGCTGAGTGTAAAAGCGAAGCTCTCAATTTACCGGTCGATCTACGTCCCTACCCTCACCTATGGCCACGAGCTGTGGGTAGTGACCGAAAGAACGAGATTGCGGATACAAGAGGCAGAAATGAGCTTCCTCCCTAGGGTGGCTGGCCTCTCCCTTAGAGATAGGGTGAGAAGTTCAGCCATCCGGGAGGGGCTCAGAGTAGAACCGCTGCTCCTCCACATCGAAAGGAGCCAGCTGAGGTGGTTCGGGCATCTGACAAGGATGCCTCCTGGGCGCCTCCTGGGTGAGGTGTTCCGGGCATGTCCCACTGGGAAGAGGCCCTGGAGCAGACCCAGGACACACTGGAGAGATTATATCTCTCGGCTGGCCTGGGAACGCCTTGGTGTTCCCCGGATAAGCTGGAGGAGGTGGCTGGGGAGAGGGAGGTCTGGGCCTCTCTGCTTAGGCTGCTGCCCCCGCGACTTCTTCCGCGATAAAGCGGAAGAAGATGGATGGATTGTTTGTTTTTGGTTAGACTTCAACAAGACTTTTTCTGTTATGGTGGATTTTTTTTTTTAAAAAGTTCATAAGACTGAAATCACAAGTCTGTTTTTAATCAAACCTGAAGTCATGTGATTAATGATACGAGTCAAAGTCATACTGGACAATCCACAGACTTCCCCAGCTAACAGGAGATTTGAATGATTTGCGTCAGTTGACCACTTATCCAATTGTGGAAAACCCGCTTTGTTAATAACTTCAGAAAATCAAGATTCCTCTTCTTGCCTCTTCTTATCAGACACTATCTTAATACTTTACCTTCTAAGAACCATTTTTCATATGTTAAGCACTAGTTCTCTTCATATCATTTGTCTACTGACTTTTGGACTTCCCCTACACTGGTCCGACAGCAAAGTGAAAAAGTTGACACTCTTTGATCTCTTTTTTTTCTCTTTCGTCTCTTTCTCTCTTTCCTTACTCACTTCACTGACACACGAGAAAAACAACCACAAACTGAATACAAATACACACTAAAAACTTAAACCACATCCTAACCCCTTTGTCTTCCCAGAAAGGTATGTTTGTTTCCAATAACAAAAAAAGCAACCATTCACAATCCAGAAAGTCTGCTCTTCATTTCTTGAACTACTTTTTTCTTGAAATTACTGGTGCAGCGGTTTCTGAAACCACAACTAGTGGTGAGCTGGAGTAACATGTTTTATTCATTTCTGTGGGCATACAGATCAGAACTGCTTCATAATAGTCATCATGTTAAGCTTCAGTCACATGGGCTTAAAGTCCGGTCCACCCTGTCAACCTACATGACTGACAAAAATGTCACTCATTAGATAGTTGGTGTCAGGAAATGCAGATTTTCCCTAAGCAACTGGTGGTTACCAGAAAGTTGCTGACCTGTCTGGGTATTTTTTCTTTCCTTCTTTTGTTTTTTGGCTGATGTTCAACCAAAAAGAGGCAGTAAAGATGTTTGTTGCTCTCTGACTATAAGTAGCTAAAATGAGCATGGTTGTCAGTTGGTGGAACCTTGTCTTGTTTACTGTAAGTGATTAATTGAAGTATCGTTATTATTATGATGTCAGAGACAAGAATCTGCCGAGTAGTTTTTATGTGATCAGATACTTGGAAATGAGATGGTTGGATTGATTATGCCGCTATGGCTTCAGTTCTTAACTGAAAGGGTTGAAGGTGGGATAAATTAGCATATCATAGCCGCAGTCTAGGAGTAGGCGTATCCTGAAACAACAGCGGCAGCAGCAGTATGACTGTTGAGCATGCAGGGACACATAATTTTGTAGACATACAATAAATCCCCTAAGCTGTTTCCTCTAATGCTGCTGGCAGGCAGAAATTTGGGTGTTTACAGCTTACCACGAGCTTTGTGAAATGTCTGAATTTCAATTTGTTTAATACTGTTTATGTGTAAAATCAACATGATAAACTTGCTTGTTAGCATGCTGACACATTTCAAACTGCAACCCCCAAAAAAGCTGTTGTGTGCATGGACAACTTTTGTTTATTTGACAAAACTATCCACATGTCCTTTTAGAAACCCTTTAACTCTGGCGTCCTTTCCTTCTCTCGCTCCTCCACACTATTTTGTGTCTTTGCTATTCTGCCACCTCCCCCTGCCTCACCCCCCCACCTATTTTCCTGTGCCATTTAAAGTGCACCTTTCCGAGTTAGCGTTTTTATTAAAAAGACAGCATTAGGTATCTTACTGGGACTAGTTTTTATATCTAAATATATTTCTGTCTACTTGGACCTTTTAGGTGATCTTTAGTGCAGAATATATTACAATTACAATATAACTGTGAAAAGTCTTGTTCACAATGATATTGTGGAAAATACAGTGAGAACTCTTGCATAAACACAATAGGTGAGCTTTAACTTGTTATGATTTTATGAATTAAATACAGAAAAAAGAAAGCCTTTTCCATTCATCACATGCACGTAACCAGCCACTTCTAATCTCGCTTCAGAGTAGACTTTATCACTTTCTCCATCACACTGCAACACCATCTTTCTTCACCGCAGGTTCATTCATTCATAGCAACTAAAAAATGTGTTTGATCTCTCTTAGAAAAGACCAAGTAAACCAAGTAAAAATTGAACTTACCGTTCCAGAGTTGTTCAGCGTGCTGTCATTTCCATGTCTGTAGGGTTATTCAGGCCGTGTACCCTAAACATTTCTTTGACTAAAGTTTTGCCGTCTTGCCTCTAGTGACGTATTGGAAAATTTTCTGAGAAAAGAAGAGGCTGCGGTGCTGTGGTTTCCCTTGGGGTTGTAACTCGGTGACATTCAATCAGCGTGTCAAGAAATGTGAAACATGGTGAAAACCCCTTTTTCTATGTTCGCATAAACACTTTCTGTTCCCTTTGCACTGAGTTTCTATTATTTGTTAAAAATACTATGACTTGGTAAGAAGTAAAAGTAATATGCTAGTGCAGAAACTATAATTTCATGCCTCTGTTTTGTTTGCTTTGCTAACTGAAATTCAGAGTCAACTCTTTTTAGGGCCAGGTTAAATGATTAGTTGGGAAATGTGCTTTCTTACTGAGAGTTTGATGGAAAGTTCGATATCTCATATGTTTACATAAGAAATATGAAGGTTAGCTTAGCAAGTGAGAAAGGCTGAGAATGGGGGAAACAGCTGGCTTACTAAATAAGCTTATTGGTTAATTGTGAAAACCTCTATTTGTCATCCTACCTGGTTTTTCTGTGGGTAAAAAGCAGTGTTGTTGTTACTGTAATGCATTTACCCGTTACTGAGTAATACAACACATCACTGTCCTAAATTTAGTTTTGTTCTCGTGTGCATGCACTCACACGGCAATCATCCCTCTGCAGTTTCCTGGAGGCACGATATAAGTGGCAGAACAGTCTATACTACAAAAAAGTGACTGTGCCCAGTTAATACACAACTATCCACTGCTGGTGAAATGCTATCAGTTTGGGAAAGGACTTGAAATTAGAGGTGCTGAAGTGTGCACGTGTGCTAGAGTGTCTTACTTTTTTTTAAATATGCCACCGTTGCAAGTACCACATCCAGCTGCACACAGCAGATGAAAATAGACAGCCTAAATCTGACCGAACTGGGCCTCACAGGTGAGAAAGTGTTAAAGACAATATTTTAACGCAGACACCAAAACAAATATTAATCACGTGCTGTGACACGTCAGGCACACACAAGCAGATCACCAAAAAGTAGGCCAGTCTCACGATTAGGGGGGCTTTTAAGCCACAGCACACAGGATATACAAGAAGCCAACTTGTGCATAACTTACTAGAACCTGGCCAGACATGTATAAAAGGTTTAGGCAATACATTTTGTTCATGAGGGGTTGAATAAAACCTTTAACCCCTCCAAAAATGATTTTCAACATGAGCTATACCTCTCATGTACTCATTTTCAATTCTGTCCATCCTCTTAGTAAAACATCTTGGTATTTTCAACTCTGCCACCTCCACGTCAGCCTCCTGCCTTTTTGTCAGTGCCACCGTCTCCAAACCATACATCATAGCAGGTTTCACCACCACACGGGAAATCTTTCCATTCACTCTTGTCACACATCAACCTTGACCCTCATCTCCACCCGCTGCACTCTCTTCTTCACCTCTGTTGTCTACTATATGAGGCTTTGGATGGTTGACCCCACCTTCACCACCTGTGCTAGTTGCATGTTTACCGTTCCACCTGTATCCCTCTCATTCTCACTCATGTATTCTATCTTCTACTGACTTTCATTCCTCTATTCTCCAGTGCAAACCTCCACATGTCCAGGCTCTCTGCTACCTTCTCGCCACTGCAAAATATCATCAGTAAGCATCGTTAGTCCACGTAGACCCTTGCCTGACTTCACCTGTCAGGCTGTCCATCACCATCAAAAACAGGAAAGGACTCAAAGTCAAACCCTGATGTAATCCCATACCCACCTTGAACTCATCTGGCACTTCTACCACACACCTAACCCACTGTCTCGCTGGCGTCCTGCATGTCTTGCGCCACACTCACATACACTTCTGATTTCCTAACACACTACCTCAGGCGCCCTATCATATGTTTTCTCTGGATCCATGAAGACACTGCAACCCCTTTTTGATGTTCCAGCAACACTTTTTAAAAAAAATATTTTTTGGCCTTTTTCTGGCTTTATTAGATGGAGACAGTGAAGACTGACAGGAACGCAAAAAGAGACAGAGGGGGAGACGTGCAGCACATGGTCGCCTGCTCATCCAACTATGCTAAACCAGTGCCCACCCAGCAACACTCTTAAAGCAAACATTACACCTGAAGTGCTCTTTCACAGCATGAAGCCATACCGCTACAGCTTTTCACATCATCTTTGTTCTTGGAAAGTAATGAAGAAGATGTGTACTTCTTCTCCATTACTCATGGGTCCTCTCAATCTCCAGGATTGTGTTAAACAATCTAGTTAAAAAGTCCACTGCCCTCTCTCCTAGAAACATCCAAACCTCCACTGTATGTCATCTGGATTAACTGCCTTTCCACTCTTCTAGAGCTGCCTCACTTCCTTGCTACTAATCCTCTGCACTTCCTCATTGGCTAACTATCCACTTTCCGTCCCCCTCTGGCTCTCGTTTTTTACATTCATTAGCTTCTTAAAGTATTCCTTTAATCTTCTCAGCACACTCTTCACGTCTTAGCACATTGCATATATTATAACTAATATTATAGTCGTATATATTATAATATTATACTAATATTTTGTACTGTTGTGACATCTTGTGGCGGGTATTAGCTGATTGCTCATTGCACCTTTTGTAACTACTGTTGACTGCTATGTAATGTCATTTGTCCATGATGCTTGACATTTTAAGGAAAAAAAATACGATTATGTTGTATTTTTACTTTCTAAATCATGCATTTCTGAGACGGATGAAAAAAGGAACAGTTTGTAAAGTGTTTTTACAACTTTATCTTTTATATTATTTTTCTGTCTGTGATGTCTGCCTTTGCACTGCTGCGAACAGAACATTAGATCTCTCTAAGCATCAATAGCATGCTAAAAACAGCTAACAGCAAGAGACCAACCAGAGATGGAAATATCTCAAGACTCTAGTTTCAAAAAAGCCTTGAACTCTAAAGAAAAAAAGACCTGAGGAAACACTTTCCTGATGGGTCTTAATGACAAGTTCCAACATTTATTTAAAACGTGATTTATATAAGTTATGGTGCCCATTAGACTCATAAAGGACATTAAAGCCAAGTTAAGATCACCAACTGTACATTAATAGTTATGTATAGACAAATAAATGATCGTAATATGAATTTAATTATGTAACTAACCAAAAGATACTTAATAAATGTCAAAATGTTGGAGGTGTTCTTGAAGAAAAACCTTCATTTACTGTTTGACGAGTAAATGCTTCACTGTTCCACAAGTTTTTTAACAATGTCAGTTTCAATTCTGTTCAATGTTATTTACATAGTACCAAATCAAAATAACAGTTCCCTCACAGCACTTTTTATTGTGATGTAAGGCCACTATAATGATAGAGCGAAGCCCCCAACAATAACATGACCCCCAAATAGCAAGCACTTGTCGACAGTGAGAAGGAAAAGCTCCCTTTTAACAGGAGGAAACCTCCAGCAGAACCAGATTCAGGGCGAGGCAGCCATCTGCTGCGACCGTTTGGGTGAGATTTACGACAACACTTTAACAAGAATTATTTAAGAATTAAAGCCATTTTTTATACAAAGTAACACATTTTTCAAGTGGATACAATCCTGAGACAACTCTGTGTGTAGATGCAGGTGCTCAGCAAAGCTGCTCAGAGAAACTAATTAAAAATACTCATGATTAAATGTTCAGACTATTTCACCTGAGCTCCTATTATACAACAGTGCTGAATGCCAAGGTTTAAAACTCTAGTGTAGTGCTGCCCTCGAGTGGAAGCTTTAGAAACACAAACTCAAATGGCATTTAATGTTGGTTATTATAAAGTGGAAAGGGATAAATATTAACTTCACAAAGATAACTTCACATTAAAGCCCTGAAAATATAATCAGTGTTAAAACAAGCGAGCTTTTTCTTATTGTTAGTATTTTTATTTGTTTTTAGTCTAACTAGAATTTATGTTGTGTTCTGAAATAAAATTAAATTAAACTTAAAATGTAAAAACCCCCAATTATTTATGACATAAAAAACAAACCAAGAGATTATCTTGGGACTTCACTGCTGTTCTAAGTTATCACCAACAACTTTCCCAAAGGAGCTCATGTTCACAGCAAGATAACAGAAATCTTTTATCAGAGCACCACACTCACCAGTTAAGAGCCAGGACAGGGTGACTACTCCCACACTGCAACAGCACAAATAATGAACATGTCCTCTCGGTGACACATGTACAACTATACTGCTCAGAAAAAGCAAAAGGCTTTTTTAATGCGAAAGAGGAAGAGAGGACATTTGAGTCTCACTTCCTTGTCACAGGTCAGCTTTAACATTTCAACTTATGTACAGCAACCCCTTTGCTATGCAGTGGAAAAATGCCTTACGTGTAATACGTGTGACTATCACTACGTCACAGCAAAGTGGGTTTTGATGCCACCTTTTTGTTTCCTTTAGTGCAAGTCTATTTTATATCTGTTCATGCTGAACTTTACTCAAGAAATGATTATTGTATATGGCAAAAGTGATTTACTTGTTATATTAAAAGCAATATTTTTAGCATCAACATTGCATCACTGAAATCATTTTAAGCCACCACAGAAAAAGAGTCTTCTAAAATGCTGTACAGTAATTGGCAATGTGTAACATGACATGAGACAGTAGCAATCATGATGATATATTAATTTATTTTTTCTTTAGACACAAACTTCTCAGGATATCTGACTTTGGAAGCAGAAAACCCCCCAAAAACAAACAGAAAAACATCACTATCCTTAGGCTCTAATCAGTCAACAAGTCAAAAGTCCATCGTTTAAACTGCATTATTGTAAGAACCTAACAAAGGAGACTCTGCTCTTTGTCTATTTTCAGTCCTTTTTAATCAGTTACTGCGTCGATAAACATGTTCATATTTATTTTACCAAAGATTACACAAGATTACAAAGTGTAGGTGTCTTTGAGTCCGTGAGCTGCCAACAGGTGGAGACTTGAGGTGGTGGGGACGGGGTTAAGAAGTTCAGTTTAGTGTCCACATATTGTTGACTTTAATCACAAATCATCTATCAGTATATAAAAGATGAACAAAAAAAAAAAAAATCCCCAGTGGTGTATTATTAATACAGGAGCTTTTTGGACATTCTGGGAAATTTTGCTATCGTGCTGCTGGCTGTGGCTTCACAGGAGGAAGTCATACAAATCCCAAATGACCAAACTTCAATAGCAACAACAGCACAAGTGATCCAGCCTAAAACCATCGGTCACAGGTCCTTCCTGTTATCACAAATGTTTCCCTCTCCCATCTGATATGACGTGCTCGGGCACGGCGCGGGTGTACCACTCCGACCATCCACCGTCATACACCGACACCCCCGGGTGCCCGCACTCGTGGGCCGCCAGTGCCACGTGGCACGCGGTCACTGCAGAGCCGCATAAGACACAAAGCGGGCAGTCGAGATCCACACCAGCACGGGCAAACAGAGCCTGGAGTTGTTCCTTTGGTAGGAAGTGGCCAGAAGGTGACAGGAAGGCGTGGAAAGGAATGCTGATGGAGCCAGGGATGTGGCCCGGCTCTGTGTCTGTCAATCAGAAAGAGCAGATACATTCAGAATATGATTAAATAATCTGAAATAGCAAATGTGTACTCTTAATTAATTAAGAAATGGGCAGTTACACAGAAACATGCAATTAAAAAGACCTTTAGAGATCTTGATTAGCCTTGGTGAGGCTTTTAAGTCATGCTAACCCTGTGTTGATCCCTTCTGTTTTTCTCAGTCTGGATTATGTTCTACACTTTGAATGTGGACTACAGTAAAATTCTTGAGCTGTTGCTCTTTATTCTAAATATTTTGCAGGGAAAATGGAAAATATGTGCAGCAATTTATTGAAACACATACAAAGATACATGGAAATACAGTATATGAGGCAAAAACAGAGTTTGTCATTATTTGGTTAGACAACCTTTATTCTTCAACACAGCCCAAACTCTCTTAGACAAGCTTTCTTGTCATTTCTTTAAGTAACAAGTAGTAACTATGACATCACCCATTGACTAGTAAGTGAAGTCTCGCTGTGACGCATTTTCATCATTGTGACTGTGGTGTTTTAAAACCACATGTGGCAAGCAACTGTGAAACCAATGACACTGCACAATCACTGGGTAAAGGCTTACTACTGAAGTTGTGCCAGCCATTAAAAAGAATTCATGTTTACGGCACTTCTGTTTTGGCTTTACTTTTTAGACCTTTCTAGCTACACCCCTCCTTGATGTAGTCTCTAATCCTGGAGTGACCTTTTACATCACAAATAATTTTACCACACATGTTTAGTGCCATTAGTAAAACTGTTATGATCCCCATTTCTGAATAACTTGTTATACAGTACACATGATTAGCAAATCATTATAATCTGCCTTTGTATTGACCGCCTCTTATTACGGCATTTCCATCTCCACTCTGCTAGCATCAGAAAGAGTAAGAGGCGTAAGTTATATTGGTCCAGCTCAGCTGCACTCGACTCTGAATAAATCAGTAGAGAGGCATGAGTCAGAGGACTGTTAAAGTCCATGACCGAAGATGACAGTCTTAAATATAAGATAAAAAAAACGGAACATAATGTGATCATTGATGACTCAACCCTGTGATCTTTTGGCTACAGAAGGACCATGTGGACGAAACCCCAGAAAGGGTTTTCTTCAGATCACATTTTAAATGTGAAAAAAAAATAGCCAGGTGTTAATAAACCACAACCACACTGGGACAGGCAGTATTTTAGTCTTGACTATATCAGTTATAGTGGGAAATTGGTTCAGTGTTTCAAAAGCAAAACTCTGAATCGAGGAAAAGAAAGCGAAACCCGCATTTGCTACGTTTTTACTACCACAGACAAATATGTGTGTTTGTATCGATGTTTGATATGAAAACAGACATTACAAAAACTGATGCTTATACTCCCAAGGGAGTCAATCAGAAGAGCAGATTTAGCATGTGAAAGTTTTATTTGTTTCCCCCAAAATTAAATCCAGGTTGGATTTACACATGCAATGAAAAGGGAAGTTTTTTTTGTTTTTTTTTAAGAGAGCAGTCAGAAAGGTCACTGCTCAAACTGCTTTCAGAAGTGTTCTGCCTGCAGAGGAGCCCTGTAACTGCACATCAGAGCTTTACCCTCTAACAGTGTGTGTACTGTGAGACGTATATGGATAAGACATCTATACCTTATCACTGTTTTGTCCATTCACTGAGTGCCATCTTTAAAAACATCAGCAGATCAAAGGTTGGACTATTGCTGCATCTAAACGTTTAACCATTCACTTTGTCTGCTACTGTGGTACAGCAGTGTGTGTGTGTGTGTGTGTGTGTGTGTGTGTGTGTGTGTGTGTGTGTGGGGTTCATTGACTATAGCTAAAATGTGGGCTAAGTACGGCCTGTCTGCCTGACCTCTTTTCATGTTTGTGTTGTTCAGTCATCCAAGCCCAGAGCAAACTCCATAAAACTCTATGTACAAGGAACTAGCAAACCATTATCTTGTCCCCCCCCCCATACCTGTGTCACCCTGACGTCACTGTCAGAGTCAAACTGTAATTGTGTTTTATAAGATACTAATTATTGTCCATGTTTGTTCATTAATTATCCCATCACTAGTAAAGAGAGGAGTATCAGGGGTCAATAACATAAAATATCATGGGCCATGATATCCTCCCCAATAATAACTTATTGTGACACGTTTGTGTGTCTATCCACCTCCACTGCCATGAGTTTGAAGTCTTTGCAGTGTACAACTGCCAGAAAAACAAATCTGCGCAGACAACAGGAAGACATTTGGAGAATTTCAAACTGGTAATTGATACCCGCCTCCAGGTGCAATCCTCGAACCAGTTTTTGATCAGTCATTCTTAAACACTCTTAAACAAGTTGACTGGTTCAATCATTCTGTTTATCTTAAAAACAGGCACAATAAGATCATCAATGTTGTCTATAAACCCTTTAATGAAAAAGTTACTATCAACAATGCACGTAATAAAAGCTACTGTGGGACGTTACTGTGAGTCACTCAGTCATCACTTTGACCAAGATAAAAATTCTATTAAAAAAATGCATGTCACCATCTTTTCCAAGGGAAAAGAGTGTAACGTTGGGTTCTTTAGAAGTATTTCAGTTACACACGGACATGAGTCAGGCCGGAAATCCTGGCACAAGTGTGTCCCAACAATAGCTGAGTTGTGAAGTTATCTTAATCATAATCAACGCATTTGTCATCAAGAGGCAATAAGAATAAAGATACAGTACACGCCCCCTCATGTCAGTGTGCCTGTAGTCTGAGGATGCTATTTGAAATAAGGGTGTCAGTAATCTGAAAATGTAATGAAGTTCTGAGAAGAATGGATCTCTTCAAAAGCCTGAGTGGGGCACGCAGGACTGTAACCATGTAACCATCATAAAGGCTCTAATGCAGACTACTCACTGTCTCTGGGTTCAGGGTCCAGTCCTTTGAACCTGCCTGTGGGCCTGGCATCCACCACCTGGAACTTTTTAGTCTCCAGGTTATCCAGGATATCCTCATAGGTTTTTATCCACGAGCGGTTCAGAGAGGCTTTGAACTCGGTCGCTGTGGGTCTGACGTACCGGTCACTCACAGGTCGACCCTCCAGCTCCCAGTTCCTGAGCCCCCCATTGAGCATAGAGACCGCACTGTGCCCGAACACTCGGAACATCCACCACACGCGGGGCGCCGAGAACGCCCCGAACTCGCTGCCATCGTAGACCACGACGTGCGTGTCGTTTTCTATTCCCAATTTCCCGACGTATTCCGCAAAATAGTCCTCTGACGGCAACATATGGTCCAGAGGAGAGGTTTTATCACAGCACTGGTCAATGTCAAAGAAAGCTGCTCCCGGCACATGCTTCTTCTTGAACTCGGTCTTTGCGTTTCTCCGCAGTTTGGGCAAATACCACGAAGTGTCCAAGACCCGCATTTTCCCCTGGACCTTTACAGCCTGAGCCAGCCACTTAGAGGTGACCAGAGCGGTGGCTTGGAGAGCCATGGTGAACTGGAGATGCAGACAGGCTACAAAGTTTACCTAAGTTTCACAATATTTAACAAAACCGAGCCAAAAGTCGGGAGCGGTCGAGTGAGCAAAGGTACTAATGGTGGCGAGAGAGCGCAAGCCAAACCGTCACGCCCCTCGGCTCACCTGACACTGATAAAAGTGAAAGGGGGACACAGTAAAAATGGCATTAGCCTACATTTTAGACAAAGTCTGAACCGACACTCATTCATAAGTCTGCAGCGAGACATGCACATTTTTCCAACTCCAACAGAAAACGTAATCTATTAACCTATCTCCGTGTGAAGTGAAAATAACAGAGGATTGGAGCCACTTGTTCCATATTTGAACAAGATCAAATATTGTAGCATATTTGATTTGAGAGTTGGCAGTTCTGTTTTGATACTACTACTACTACTACTAAAATGGCCTGTATTTGTATAGCGCTTTACTTAGTCCCTAAGGACCCCAAAGCGCTTTACACTACATTCAGTCATCCACACATTCACACACACATTCACACATTGGTGATGGCAAGCTACGTTGTAGCCACAGCTGCCCT